GCCCTTTACGGTCATTCACGATTCAACAAGCAATTTAACCGCAATTAAAAACAAATTCTAATGAATAGCATGCAAATCGAAGCTATGACAAACGATTAAAGAGGGGACTTTGAAGGAACGTTATTTTTCACAGGTGAATGATGTTTTGCTTTTGGACTATAAAAGGGGGATTTTGTGCTACCAGTCTGTACCAGTCTCCTGGAGTTCCAACATAAGGAAATATCAAGTAAGTAATGCTTCACATCGAAATATTTGTAACCTCTTATAGGCTTGTTCTTGAAAGACAAATTATGATTGGATTCCTCAGTCACGTGGTTGTCAGATTTAATTATAACACTTATCTACAACAAATGTTTATTCATTACACTCAAAGTCTTAAATGCTTTTATGAGTTTACCTTTACATCGATTAAAAAAATATGTGTTAATTATATCAAATTTAAAAAATATTAAGATTAATGTTTTCATTAAATGTCGACCTCTTATAATATATGGTTATTTATATTTAAAATGATATAGCTGCCAGTAGAATTGGTAAGGGCTGAGGAATATAAATTTCTTTTACCGAAACTTTCATTTACCAGTTAACTATTTTCATGTGAGAAAATAAATACACACTCAGTTATATGAACGTTGGACTTTAATACCATTAAAATACGAATTATTTACTAAATTATTTACCTTGTCTAATCTACGCTTTTTAGGGTGTTTACTAGAATGTTTACAATATTTATCAAGATCTTTTGATTTTTTAGATGAACAAATGCACTTTATGGTTGACATGTACTAGTTCATCCATCTAGGGGAGAATGGATTTTAAATGACAATGCCAAACAAACAAAACTGTAAATTTAAAGACCTCTTGCCATGCACAGCTTAATTTTTTTCTTGCATTTCCTCCAAAGAAAATAGTACAAAAAGAGCTCTTCCATGTTTTAACTTTTATTTTCTTGGGAGGGCGATAGTTAACTTGTACATAAAAGTTCGGTAAAAGAAAATGCTTTGCTTACGCTCATTGGTAAAACTATCTTATTTGTCCAAAAAAAAGCATCTGCATATATTTCTTTAAACTTATTTCTTTTTTATATGTAAAATAACTATCTCCATTGTTTGACAGGATGAATACATTTGTGCTGATTAGTATTGTCTGCCTAGCAGTGGCTTATGCCTACCCTTATCAATACCAGTATCAGAGCAATTACGATTACAACGATATAAACGCCATCCCACACTCCTCCCCAGCTGGAGTACAAAGCCGGTTCGATTACATGCGAGACAATTACAATGATAGGTACAACAGATTTAATGATAACAACCCGTACAACAATAACAACGTTTACCGCCGATACAACGATAACAACAACGTTTACCGCCGATACAACGATAACAACGTTTACAGCCGGTACAACGATAACAACGTTTACAGCCGGTACAATGATATCAACAATGTTAACAGCCCGTACAACGATTACAACAATGAATACAACGGCCTCAGCGGATTCGACAACAACAACAGGCGCGGTAGATTCAACAACATCAACCGGTACAACGATAGATTAAACAACAGAGACAACCGTTATGACTATCTTGACAACGACAACAACTTTTTTTCCGGAAGTAAGATTTTGCAATTATTGGTTATCAAAGTTTGTGTTTCATACATGTACCAAAAAAAAAGATCTGATAGATATTTCTTGACTCCTGGTGAATACAGTTCTCTATAATCTGACAACTTAAATGTGTCTTGCCATCAAACGTACAGATGGGCAGGCAGACTGACAGTTGATATAGATATCATTTCCTTCTCCTGTTATTCATATAATAAATATTCTAGACTAAAAACTTTCTGAACTAAATAAAGGACAGAGTCGGAACAAAAAGGCCTTTAAATTTCAAGAGATTATATGGTAAAAGATTTTATTTCAATCATTTAGAATTATATTATTAGATTTTTTTTTCAAATTATAGCCTTTTCTTTAAATTTAGGTATCAAGTATGTTCATAATATAAAAATCTGTATTACAAAAATACTATTTTAAAAATCAGGCTCTCGTAGTTATATCAACCCGCATGCACGTGGTTCCATGAGAAATAGCCGATACTACACCGGTATCGGTATCGGTTCCGGAAGTAGCTACCTCCACAATTCCAGGAGCTACTGAACACAGGTACTAACTTCTCTCTTTCTAGTACGTTATATGGTAATGATGGTTAATTTTTTGCTGACGTCGAAATACTTTCTGATATTTTTTATTACTATTCAACTTTTTTTTTTCTTTTTGTTATTAGTGTATTTAATTGTATTATTATTTCATCTTTATTCATTTTTGTATTTCTTTTCAGGAGTTGAGTGGCTCAAATGGGGTTAAATTATTGTGAAATTAAACATTATGTAAAAAAATACAAATAAACATAGATGAAGGTATTTCTGTTATATATTTCTTTCTGAGTTTTACTATCTCAGAGGTTACCTATATGAAAAAGCATTCTTAGAGTATTGCATAAGCAATACTAGTCCCCTACCCGGCATGTGTGTAATCTGGTTCCCGTTGAAAATTGAAATGCCATAATTCAGTCAAAAATAAATGAAGCGGAAAGAAATGCAAACTTTATCTGTAGCTAATCAAGGTCAAGTCACATACCAAAACTCAGCTCAATATCTGCAAGCGTTTAGAAAAAAATTGCGGAAAACCAAGTGGGACAGACTGACAGACAGACAGAGGGAAAGACGGACAGACAGACAGGCAGACAGACATACAGACAGACAGACAGTCGGACGGACAGACTCAGAGGAAACCTATAGTCTCCTCCGGTTTCACCGGTAGAAGACTAAAAACAAGAACACGATTTTTTTTTTTTTTTTTTTTTTTTTTTTTTTTTTATGTACATATTTACATATAAATTATTGATTTTTAAAAAATGTATTTAAAAATAATTGCAAAAAATGCATATTATATTATTTTTAAATCGCATTAATTCAACAATTTAATGCTTTCTTTGGTTGTTAGTGCGGGAAATGATGCTACATCTGTTCAGAAAAGAATTCGTTACCCGTGTAAGCACATAAATAATGGACAATACTTTAAATAGGCCTATTATTGTCCTGCTATAAATGGTTGAAAAAAAAATAATTAAATGGATATAGCAGGTCTGAAATCGGAAAAAAAGTGATTATCAAATCCTAAATCAGAAAAAATAATCGGAATAACCAAATTTCACCTAAGAAACAGACAAAGCGAAAAATGTGGGTGTCTCTGCGTGATCATTGTCTGAAAATTCGTCATAAAAATGAACAGGTAATATCTCTTGACAGAAAGAAATAACTTTTAAGACTTAAGTTTAATTTTTATATCTTATCAAATCCAATATCAGAAAAAAAGTCGAACATGAAGTGAAGAGACCAATGGTAAGGGGAAAAAAACCCAAAGATTTTTCACAAGTAAGCAAATAGAAAAAGTGATTTTCTTAGGTACTAAAAGCAGAATGATCTTGCTTACAATTACTGAAAGAAAATTACATGATCCTTCTCCGATGAAAGGCTTAAATTTAAGGAAAAAAAAATATATATAGAGTATATACACTGAACATGTTGTTTCCAATCAGCACTAGTAAATATTTAAAATACCATTTTACACAAATAACCCGTTTTTGCGGATGTTTTGGAGTCAAAACAAGACCCTCAAATGTCGTTCTTGTCCGTAAACTAATTTCTGGGAGTTGAATGCGAATTGGGCGTGTACTGATATGAAATTGGTGGTTATCGGTGTTGATCGGTCGGGTTACAACAGCGGCGGTGTCCATGTCTCGGAAATGATGTAAAGCGAGATGTTTATCATTTCGCCTAGCAGTCGTGCTGTACTTTTGCTCATGTAACTAGGCGACAAGACCTCCGGTTGTAAAAAAAAAGTGCTATAATCTTACAATAGGCGCGTGGTGTCTATTGAATGCCCTAATTAACAACCTATGGAAAAATCTTATATTTGTTAATCTATTCAGTACCTTTTAAGTAGAAAATACAATTTTTTTTTTTATTTATTTAGATTTTTGCAAACCAATGTACCCTGTGGACACAACAATGACTGAATTACCACGCTCTGCCAGAACCCCAAGAACGCATGGGGTGTCAGAGTTGTCTCAATTTGTTTTGTGAATACCAAGATAAAGAATATAAACACGGAGAAAAAAATATCCCTCCAAAAAGTGCAAGCACAATTTTCAGGTACTTTATAAGCATTTTAATTCCTGGGGGTCAATGTTCGCGGACAAGCAAAATTCTACTTGTTCATGGGGACATAATTTTGTGAGTAACGGTTGATTCAATGAGTCATATAAATATGTTTAAAAAAAACTAGTTCGTGTAGATGAAAATTTGTGAATAGGGTGACTCACAAAATCCACGGACACTGGTACCCAAGAATAATGATTCCATAGTATCTATAAGAAATGGAAAGGATCTAGTAAAGTTTGTATTTTGTATTCACTGATCAGTTTGGCCTTTAAAATGTTTTTTTTTCTAAATTACAAATTAATAATTAGGCATCAAATTCAGCATAGGTTTTAGAAAGATAGATATTAATTTTTCTGAGGTGATACATTTGCAATATTTTGTTTTTATGTTTGGTTGATATCAAAAGAATCGTAGTTTTTCCCAGTGCATGTGCTCATTTCGGAAAAAATCGCTTTTATTGTGAGAGATCTTTAGCATATAACTGAGGAAAAACTCTTGTCGTATTTGTCTTAATATCAAGTAAATATATATTTTTTTTAAATCTTATTTCATTTTCTTGCTATAGTAATCACACACTGTTTGGCAACTACATGATTCAACAAAGTAAATATTAACAATTGGTGTCAATAGCATATCTTTTTTGATATAAATACGACTTTTTGCAAGTACTTTTACACATTTTCAAAATGCTTACTAAATGATCGTTTGTTAAGCATCCTGAATTAATGTTTAATCTTTAATCTTATAAATAAACCTTTGTATATATACAAATATATACAAATGGGACATTTATTGAAAAGACAATAAATTCTATTTATCAAAATATATCCCTTTCTCCCTTTATTCTCATTTTTCACAGCCATTTTGGGTCATCCCTCTCATATGTATTTCCTGAATTAAAAAAAAAAAACAAAATTATATTATTTGGTATTTGGAGGACGAGAATCAGGTTGAATCAAATTTCAACAGTATTAGAATTCCATGAAAATATCATTTTTAGAAGAAAAATTCGAAACAAACTAAGATAAAAAAAATAAATAAAAACCAGCAATTTTTTCAACTGAATCTATATTAACCTTAATAATATCCCCTTGATCCGAATCCGTTGTATCCATAGTCACCATATCCACGATGATTGTATCCATGGTTATTGTATCCGTAATTTCCGTAGTCATAGTAACTGTGTCTCTTATAGGGGTAGTCATAGTACCCGTTATATCCACCATAGCCTAAAAATGAAAAAAAAATCATTTTAGAGGATTAACAATATTTCTTTGAGTATCTTTTCGAACCATGTTGGGGTTATATTTTTTTAATTTCTTCATGGGATCCGTACCGGTATTCAATGGGGACCATTTTCGTAACGTCAGGAATGCAGATTTTGAAAGTGGTTGCACTTTTCTACAAGCAAAAGGATCGTATTATGAGAAAGGGGGGGGGGGTCGATTTCCAAAAATAACTCCTTGGTCATTATTCTACGATGATAATTATTTGTCTTTACAGTAGCCACAGACAAGGTGTCCTGAAATATTTGATTATGGTACGAGGTAAGGTAATTATTGTTATCAAGCAAAAAGTTAAGATATTCAGGAGTGAATATGATGTCCAAAGGTGAAATGCATCCACAATATATGAAAAAAATTGACCAGCCAAGTACCTAGGAGCCCTGAATTTCTTTATAGAGGAACATATATATTTTTTAAATCTTGCCAGTAAAATGTCACGAATAAAGCAATAATTAAAATATATTTGAAAACAAATAAGCGATAAACATATTCCCAACAAGGACCTGAACAATGGACTCAGGAGATACGAATTTTTAAATCAACATTGTAAAGGGGTTGAATATCATTATTATCATGCTAAAATGATTAAATATTTTTTTCATTACCATAGCTGCATGTATGTAGATCATTAGGTTTTAATAGATATCTTTTTAAATGTAATATGATGAATTACTAATCCCATTGTTAAAACATGAAGTATTAATATCCATAACATAGTCGTCATAGCCTCTTAATCTGAACTAAGCATCATGTGACGTCTATGAGTAAAAAAATATAATGACTCAATGAAAAGTTGAAAAGTTCAATGCACTTTAATGTAGTTTAAAATTATTGTGCGAAAACATCTCAGAGTCATAGTGCTGCTAGTATTGCATTGTTCTATCACTGAAAAGATTATTCCATACCTTCGTATGAAATCTTACCAAATCTTTTCACAGTCTCTACATATAATTAAAGAATTTCACTGCATGACTCTCACTAATGTTTACCACCTCACAATTCTAGCAACGCTATCTAACTATTTTAGTGCACACGATTCTATCTGGGCAAATTTATTTTTTTCAAAGTATGTGTAGTGTTGAACTTTTGCATCTTTGGTGTCAAGAAAAACATGGGAGAAGCTGACCGGAATTTGAAAATAGCTACTTTTATTCATTAAAAGAAATTATAGATGAAAATAAATCAGCGTGTCCAATATTAAGAAACATTAAATCCTTTAAATCACGAATGATGACACAGTATATATCTCTTAATTCCCGATTCACATATCTGTTTATATGGCGTCTTTAATTTCCTTTTTCTCAGCAAATTTATAATAAAATGTTATGAATACATTGATGAAGTACTTTACCCCTAACAGTTAGTTCATTGTGTCTTTAAAGGCCAAAAATCGATGGCATACAGGATTGGTTACACCATTTCGTAAATTTGGATAATTTCAATACTTCTACAATTTTTCATATCAATTTATTTATAAGTACTTTTGAAAAATTCTTTTCAGTAAATGAAATTGATTTGGTGAATACAAATGCACTTTCATTTTTTTATTCCCTTCCCTGCAAAAATATAATGCTTCAATCTTTGTTGTACGTATTTAAGGATTGTTTTCTTACCATAATAATCATCATGGTCGTAATAGTTATGTCGTCCATGGTAGTAATGCCTGTTGTACCCACCGTGGTGGTAGCTTGGATAGCGACTGAACCGACCATGAAACTTTCTTCGTACACCGTATCCAGTTGAGACTAAGGTTAAACAGAGAATGGCAACGAGAAGAAGGGACTTCATCTTGTCGGTGATACTGAAAGAATGTAGCCATAAGATATGAAAATGTCGTTGTTTTTTTTTTTTTTAGCTCTGAAGAGTAAACAACTCGTCTAGTACAAAGTTAATAGAAGTTTAGTAGGGACCTTTCTATTAAAGTGTCTAGTAAGCTGATTGATTTGTTCTGATTACGTTTTACTCCGTCTAACTGATCAATACATATGGCTCATGGCCCGTGTGACCGGTCGATAGGGGATGCTAATACCCCCAAGGCACCTGATCCCACCGGTTTTTTTTCCAGAAATTTATGCTATGTTCATGATTCTTTTTTTTTTCTTGATTAATAATGTGTACAAGGGATTGAAGACAACTTTTCCAGAATAAAGAATACCTATTGATATATAAAAAATAACATATAATATATTTTATAATAAAGTCTACGACTACTGAATTTATATTCTGTTACAATGTATTTGACTTTTTAAATTATGATAATTTCAAGTCCCTTTTTACGGAGTTCTGATGAAATATAAGAACACTTTTTAGTACCATTTATTTTGTTTAAAAATGTCAATATTATTTAATCTTTTGTGTTTTCTTGGTGCCCATGAACATTCAAGAAAAGACTATTCCCTGCTTAGATAATGATTTTTTCAGTGATGGTAACAGTATCCCCAAAGACAATTTAGAATAGTATCCGACGTGCACTTAGAGGCACAGGTTGTGTCAGAAAGGCGAGTGCATTGTTTAAAAAAAAAATTGGAAAAAAATGTAAAGTGAACATGAAAGAAGGGATATAAATTCAAAGTGAAACAGATTGTGCAGGCGCCAGATTAGGTTATTTTTGTTTTATACCATGTTATACGAAGCAAACTTTGATATAAGGTGTTTTTTTAAGATGAAAATTCAGAAAGATGACATAGTTATTTATCACATTTCATGTTTACCCTTAGCAGTTGGGATGGTAAATTTGTTCCTTAAAATATATTTTTAAAAAATAAACAAAATCAACCAAAAAGGGGGAAAAGAAGAAAGAAAAGTGAAAGAAAATTAAAATTACTTTAAAAAAGCTCGGAAAAAAAAAATAAAAATAGCACTTACTCACACTTACGTAAAACTAATTCCAAGTTCTAGGAGAAAAATAAAGTGAGACTCGTTTTATAACTGTGTGCAATTCTTTAAATGTATGTAAAAATCCTTCAGTGTAAAGAGTATTTCGTAATTTATCCTAATTCATTACAATTTACATTTACATACGTTTTATCTCAATTTCTTTTGAACATCTCCTTTAATTGAAACACAATTGACTGTGGTCAATTTATACCAAATGCACTGATTCTTAAATGTCTTCATTATTTTCAGGAAATAAGAAATACATGCATTTACATTCACTGTCCAAAGGCATTTATTTGTATTTGTATATAGAAGACGATGTCTGTTATCACTTGCTTTTCAAAGTTTTTTTCATATAAAAGTAACAAATATTGATATATAAAATGTTCCGTTCAAACATGTACATTACTGAATAATAACTTCAAAAATCATCTCATTTACATCAATTTTTATCAGAAAATTGAATCATGTGAGATTTTTTTTTGTTGGAAAAAAATCTAATCTGTGCATATTTGAGAAACTATAAATGATTTCAACCAAAATCCATGACGCGTAAATTGATGACGTCGCATTGTTGACGTTTAGATGCCGAAAGAAGGTTAATTGTAGATCATGTACAAAATATAAAATCTTCAAATTATACCTGTTGCCCCTTTAAAAACATAAGTAACAAACTGTTGGATACATGTGTATTTATTTTATACAAACTTTTGACTGGAAGATGTGAGAACCGAGGAGTCATGAATCCTACTCTGTAATCATTCTCTGAACGGTGGCAATATTAGGCTTGCAGATCCATTGTAAGTCATATACTTTGTAAGAAAGCACTGTTGAAAGTGGTTAGACGCTTTCCTGCATGGTCAAAGTAGTCTTCCACCAACAACTTAATTGCTAACGTTTGCCAGGAGAACGATATCTTAGGTGGGGTGGGCTTAACATCAGTCATTGCAGTAGCCAATACGATATATTGATAAAATCTGACCAGTCATTGAGGAATAATGAGTCTTTTCTTATTATTAACGAAATTTTAGCTTAGTAATATTCATTCGATAACGCAGAACTTTCAAAAGTATACTTTTTGACAAATCTACATCTTGGAGCGAGGGAAAGTGTCAAAAATGGAAGTTTTAATGATAAAGCATACCCGTGGACAATGGATAGGTTTATCTTTTATGGTAGATACCGTTCACGGTAGCTCAGTCGGTAGAGCGCTCGCTCCGTGATCGGGATGTCGTGAGTTCGAATCTCGACTGACCTAAGTCGATAAAAAAATGGGTAGCAACTGTTGCTTCGCGATGCGCTCGGCATTTCGAAGTGAACGTTGTGGGTCCTTCGAATGAGACCTTAAAAACTGAGGTCCCGTGTCACCGTCTAACATGATTGGCAAGATGAAGATCCCTCACTGCTCAATGGCCCTGAGTGCCGAGTAAAGGTCAAAATTTGAAGCCCTTCACCGGTATATGGTGACGTCTCTATATGAGTGAAAAATTCTCGAATGGGACGTAAAACAACATACAATCAATCAATCTTATGGGCTAGTGTGCACCACACGTGTTTGCCCTGCTCCAAAATTTGTATTGTTTAATGGACTTTTGAGCTTGAATACTGTTCGTTATCTCCATATATTTCATATATGAGATAATGTATGTATCTATAACACTTCAAAAACGTTGAAAAACGTCAGTCAGCATTTGACATTATGGTAGGTTGTATTCGCTGACAAGGCCATTGTATCGACCATAGAACTTGCAAAATTTTGACTTCAAACGAGACTGCTGATATCCTTTTTACATCGATTTGTTTGTCAATAGCTTAGAAATTGTTCATACGTAGAGCATTCTTTTGCGTATCGAATCCACTGAATGACAAAAACCCAATAATCAGGTGATAAGGGTATATTGCTATGTGAAGGAAGATGACGATTGAAAAAAAATGAAGTCATCACGTTGTCCTAAAACTTTGTTGTTAGGTTACTATCTTTATCTTGTACATGTAAAATACCCAAGAATGACACAGTTGTTTCAGTCTCTGTGGCATCTTTTTTTCCAAGCTCACTGGGAAATATCGCGTCGACATATGAATTGTAGAAACTATTGTTACTTGAGAATATGTCGTCGAATATATCTAAATGTCGAGCTGAAGGCCACAACAAATGTATTCTTCTTCTCGTGTACATGTTTAAATTCTGTTTCATTTGAATACAAAAAAAGTCTGCTAATAGGGAGGGGCGCAAATGGTACCCATGGGAATTCCAACATATTGCTGCGTACAACCTGATTTCCAAACAATACATAGATATTGTCAAACAGAAACTCAGACATCTTTTAAATATCAAATTCAGAGTACTTGCGTGTACAATTAGAATTTTTTTTAACAAAATAATTTTGTAAATGACCAATGACAAGGAAAGTATAAACATGTACATGTATGTATCCACATCTAATTCACACACTTTCTAGAATATACTGTTGTACATTTTTCCTTAATTTCCTCCTTCACTGCTGTAAATATTTAGTGAGTAAAGAAAGACGCTGGAAAGAACATTTACCGGAATAATTTTGATTGTTGGAGATATAAAAAAAATATTCAAAACTGATGAAATTTTTCCTAAGAGAGGGATCTAAGGGTAAAGGTTGTATTGCCACTTGTAGAATTAAATCCCAGTTCCTGTAAAATACAATTTAAATAACGAGTGTTATGAAGACAATGTTGTTACCTGCGTTGTCAGCTGGGACCAGTACATACTGATCGTGTAGTCTATCTTGTTCTTTTTTCACTTCTGAATTATTGAACACTAAGGGATAGATTGTTTCCCTCAATCGTTTATGCGAGGTTTTAACATATCTAATACATTCAATCCATTCTGACAAAATATCAAGGAATTCTTTTTTCATGTTAAGCCCATCACGTGGCGTAATCTTCCACAGAAATAATAAAGTTCATGAAATTATGATTCCAATTGAAAGATCGGGGTTCCCTAAATTTGGGCCTTTTTAAAAAAGTGATTTAAAGTCCTCATTTCTTATTATATTTACGTCACCAGTAATATCGTTTCCACCAGGACTATAGTTGTAGGGATAAGTGAAACATTAACACGATGGATGTTTATGTTTCAGATTCTTAATATTCAGGCTCTTAAAAAATTTTGTAATTAATCCCATGTATAGGAAAGACTTACTTAAGTTAAAAAGCACTTAGGAAATGATAAATTGGTACATTTTAAGGTTTACATAATGCATTCTATTGTCAACTTATACAAATAGGGTCTTAATTTACATTTTCGATTTAAGCCAGAATTTTTTTTTCTTTTTTTCTTTTCTTTTTTTTTTTTTTTTTTTGAACGATCATTGTTCCTTATCTTCAACTTGAAAATGAAAAAAAAAAATAATAGTTTTGAATTTTGTTATATAAAATTATTCACAGTGTCTTGCTCCAGGTGTGTTAAGTAATATTAAAAAAAGTAAATACCAAATACTGACACAAAAGAAGTTCGTATATGATTTTCTTTAACCAATAAATAATCATCAGATTTAAACACGATTTATTTTTTTTTTCTCTTAACCCATTTGGTTGATGATGGCTAAATCAAAATTTGAATTTAAACAACAGAATGAAATACTGAGATAAAAGAAAAAGGATGTTTAATGTTTGTACATTAAAGAAGACCTCCCTCCTCTTTTTATCACCCAAAGAAGAATGTTGTTTTCTGTATGGAATTGATTTCAAGAAAACACTCTCCAACTTTACAAACATTTATTGTGTTTCTTTCACATATATTTTCACTTTCCTGATTTTTTCCAGTTACTTTGGCAGTTTTCGTCTGAAATAAATATTAAAAAAAAATGCATTATTGTGTCTTTTAGAAAATGGACCAATATATATGGTAAAAATTCTATAAAGAAAAACATATAAAAATACTTTTTTTCATGCGCAAAAAGATTAACATATTATATATATAGGTAAACATAAGAATAAAAAGAAATATTATTAATAACACAATTACCTCAATAAAAAAGTGTATTTCGACATATTTCTATACCTTTCATAAACAATCGATTTCTTTTCAATCTGTAGATTTTTTTTAGTATCTTCTGCGTCCACTGAATCCAAAATTATAACCAGAACTATAATAGTTATTAGGATAACCATAGTTGTAGCTTCTGTAACCTCCATCTAGTAAAGAAAAAAATATACTGAAAAATAATTTATTTTCGTAAGGATTTTATTGTCCTTGTTTTCGACGTTGGAGGAGATCTAAGAATTCATGACCACGACAAAAGACTTAGTTACGTACACAACAATTCTTCATCCACGAAATTATGTCCCAACAAACCCCTGAGTTTCTTCAAACCACGAAACTTTTAACCCATGAAAATATGTAATTTTGTAGACTGATGCATCAACTGTTCCAAGTCGTTGTAGATTTTAAAATCTTATTGAAGGTTATTTTTTGTTTGTTTATTTATTTTCAAATTTTCAAACTGGTTAATACAAACATTTCTTTGCAAGTGTTTGATTGTTAAGTTTTTTTTGTATTTGTCGTTCATTTACAAGGTGATGAAAAAGAAAGGTATAAATAAGTTTTGAAGGAAATGGCATACATTTTAACCTACAAAGGTTTTTTTAATAATATGACTTTGCAATTTTTTAATGTTACTGTAATTATTTCTGTGAATGCCAGTGCTTTGGAGATAGACTCTCATTATCGAGAATACATATTCCGACAGATAAAAAGAAAATCTGTTTTTCTCTAAAGATGCTAATTTAAGTTATGTATATTATCATCAACGTAGGTAAAAAGAAGCAGTATATTGCTTTTATTTTCAGAAAAATACAAAATTACAAAAATATTATAAAAAAGACATATTGAATAATAAAAGTTTTTGTTACATTTTTAATAATACCATCAGTATTCTTATTTTTAATGAAATATTTTCAATCATTTCATGCTTAAATATCTTTGAACAACAATAAAATTTCGATGTATCATAAGACTGTAGAAAGTCCAAAAATCAATTAAAATTAAACTGGAAAACTGAAT